TTAAGGGTAAACGGAACCCGCGTGCCCACATGAAATTTCAGAATTCTCCTTTCTCCCGCAATTATTATTTTTCATTTACGAAGCTACTTCACTGACTCAACAATGCAATGATCGAGTCGATAAAGTAGTTTCGTAGATGACAATTAATAATTGCAGGAGAAAACACAATTCTAAAGGTTCACGTAGGGTTTCGCATCCTCTCAACTCTCAACTTTCGTCGAGATATTTTTGAAGAGATAAGAGGCCGAGAAAGTCCGTTTTTCCCGGTGCCTCCGGACGAACGCGGCCATGAACTTGGCACGCCGGAAGTGCAACGACACCATCACCAGCAACTCCTTCACTATTACCTCCTGTACTATTTTCTACTAATAAAACGAGCATTACTGGAATACCTGTGGAGTAACGTCCAACGGTTCCCCAAGCGACTCGTCCCCATCACTCAATTCACTACCCCTGTCTCTCCCACAGCACTTGCACATTCTACTGAACAACGAGAAATTCTTCGTCTTCATTATTACGCAATACAGACTGTTGAGTTAAACTGTTTATTGTAGCAACTGCTAATGGGTTTTGGTCACGTTGCGGAGCGTCAGCATCCGTCGCGTGCTGATTTATTGTGTGAATCTTTTCCCCATGAAATAGGGTGGTTTCAGGGTGTGTTGGGAAAATTTCAGGGGCACGAGGCGATTGCGCCTGAGCATTTCCCGTCTTCAAGTTCACCTGCATCAAAGGTCAACTCGATCAGCTGTATTTATGTGTCACGAATCCCCTCTACTCTTATCGATCCGAGATGGGGGATTTATCGATTGGAAAAATCGGTTTTGAGGTAATTCTTTCATTGGTGGAACTTTATTGGGGTTTACTCAAGCGATAACGCGTGCCACCAATGCGGAAAATCGATAGGAAGTTCCTGTTGTCTTTCCAAGGTCTGAAATATCGGCGATAAATTATTGACTCTTTCATTTTTTATGCGCAAGAATTTAGGGGAATTTAAGGGGGAGAACTGGTTTATTCTGGTTATTCAATTTATTAATTTATTTTATAGATCATGCAAGCGAACTGATGATGGAGTGTCTAATTAGGGTACAAAATGTAATGTACAAAATATGTTTGCGTATTTTAATGATACATTTTTCAAGTTGACAACAGGAATTTGAAAAAAATTACCCAATTTTTTCAAAATTTTTTGAGGCGCTTGAATTTTTGTAATTGAGAAATACTGAATGTTAGAAAAATGATTGGATCAAAAAATCATTTATCTATTGTATATTTGCATAGCTGAAATTTATTGGATACTACTGAAACATTTATTCTCTTTTAAGTGACAGGGAATATTTCGAGCTTGTGATTTTACAATGGGTTTCATTATTTTTTCCAACGTGAAAATGTAATAACAATAATTATACAACACGATTACAAAAATAAAAGTTGAAAATCCTGAAAATTATGTCATAATTTTAAATTCCCTGTTTTCATCATTTGAAGATAAACATTTTGTGTTTCCCCGTCGTTCAAACGGAAATTACCATTCGCACAATCTAATCTCATTCCCTTAGACTCTGACTCGTAAGAACAGAAAATTCATTCGGCTGTTATGACTGCCCCAACGTTATCCAATGTGTCATATTTCTTGTCTTGCGGTTTGTGCTTTATTGAAAATTCCCCCACAAAGCTGTATAATGCGGTCAAACGTCCTCCCCCTGATCTCACAAATCCGTCCAACATCTCCACTTGCATCGCCGTTTTTCCCCACAAGTATCATCACGATTCACCGAGGACAATTAACGCGTCACCGAGATGCATGTGTAGGACTAATTAGAACACTCGACTTAATTAAATACCCCGTCTCGGGTGGGTAATGCAACATTGAAAACTTTTTCGTTGACTGCGCGTTAAAGATGGAAGAGAATAGCATTTTTTTACCTCTGGAAGACTTCGGAGAGACAGAAGATTAAGATTTTATTTGGCAATTTGAAAAATATCATTTATCTACGAGAAATCGAACTCTTGCACTTTTACGCTTAATTGATTTTTTTAAGGATTTTTAAGGATATTTTTATTATTTTATTGAGGAATAATACTGTTTGAATTATTTTTTTCTACTGAACTTTTTCTGTTTCAGAAGACGTCTTCAACTTAGAGGTTTTAAATAGGGAAATTTCCGGATTAAATTGCAGGAAAAGAATTTGAAAAACTATTTTTAAAAGGGAAAATTATATATTCAAATTTTTTTCTACGAAAAATTGCCGTGATTTTCATAAATCGCAGTTTTCTCGATTTTTAAAATCATTTTTCATCCCAGACTTAGCTGGTGTTAAATTTAATGACACGAATTTGGCAAAAAGATTTTGAAAGACAAAAATCCATTGTTTATTGATTTTTTAATGAAAAAAAAATCGTAATTCATCGTGAATTGGATGAATCAGAATTTTCTTCATCATCGATTTTTAAACTATCCATTTAATACATTGTGCCCTTCATCAATTGGCCATGCTGTTAATGCAATCGTTTAAGAATGATGCTGATGTATTTGTCACGTTGAAATAAGACTTGCCAAAAAGCTCCGAGGTCTCTGCGCTGACCCTCGACTCTCCGTTACGTGCGACGAATGGCGCTTCTCAAATTATTATTTTATCCCTCATTACATGCACTGACAATTCACTCTTGAAAATCACCGAGATTCCCCTCATTTGTCCGTCACAACAGTCACAATACCCAATGCGTCTTATTTCTATCGATACATCCCCCGTTGATTGTTACGTTTTGAATGAGTGTTATCGATTCAAGGATAATGCACTCGTAATAATTTCATAAATATTGATGCAATGGTTGAATCGACGGCGAACAATAGTCGTATTTATCGGCGTAACATGATCCCTGAACTTGACTCATCGAATTGTTGTGATTTAACGTTTCTCCGGAATTATGTCTTCATTAATGCGGGACTATTCGAGCGTATTACGAGTGATTCGTGGGGATAAATTTTCCAAGTTTTCCGCTTTATTTTTTATTTGTTTATCGTAATGAAATAACAGAGCAAAAACGCTTGAGGCAAATTATTTCTACAAAATGATTGCCTTGAGCGATATTTCATTTTAAAAAATCAAAAGATTTTTATTTTCTATACAAATTTTTGAAAATAAAATCCACTGAAATAAAATCCATAAAAACACTGAGAAAAATCCCGACAGAATAAGTTGTATAGAAAAATCAACATCTAGAGAAAATTTATCCATTAACAAATATCTATTAAAAAACGCACTGAGAAGTCACATATTTTTTAAAACAATTTACGCAAAAAACTACTAGAATCTTTCGATAGACTTCTCGTAAGATTCCGACAGAAATTCAATAGATTGAATTTTATTAATACGTGTGCATTAGGAACATAAAAAAAGGCATACGTCTCCATTTTGCCCCACCCGCCCCTGTGAAGACAATTGTTAGGTAATTGACTCACCGGCGGTTCAATGTTTTCCCACTTTTCACCGAGATAGTCCCATTTTTCATCAGCCATTCTCTCAAAATTTTCCTCCTGTTTACGTTTTCAGTCACTATGGCTAATATTATCTATTCACTGAGGTGACAAATAGCCGTTCGGGTGAGTTTACTCACGGACGGTTATCGCACGTCGACTGATGGGCATCAATATTTCACACCTTACATCATCAACGCACAGCAACCTCTTATCCTCAGCTCTTCTGAGCTAGAAATATTATAACTTGAGAGCGTTTGGGGCTATTTTTACTTCGGACCGCACGCGCCCTCATCAGATTTTCATTAGTTAGCGTCCCGCGCGGAGTCGTTTGAATTTTTCGGAGGTCGAGGTGTTTCGCGGACATCGGGGGTGGGGAGAAAATTGTTGAATGAGTTTTTTCTGATTTTTTGGGGGGCGGGGAGGGCCTGTGTTGCGTATTAGTTGGAGTGAGGAGTGGTTTGTATTTGAGGAACTGTCGATGCCAGATTTTCATCGTGTCAGGATGGCCGAGCGGTCTAAGGCGCTGCGTTCAGGTCGCAGTCCACTTCTGTGGGCGTGGGTTCGAATCCCACTTCTGACAATTTTTTTTTTCAATCAAGAGAAGAACATTCAGTGGATAATTTATGGGAATTTAAGGGACGAGTGTCAAGTTGCTATTGCGATTTTCGATTGAACTAAATTAAATCAATTTTTTGACAATCGCTTATTCAATCAGGTTGTTTATGAAATCTCTGATTTATCTCTGCAGTGCATTAATATTCTCAAAAAATTATCGACAATTGCAACAATTTGGAATTTTATTTCTAATTGCATTGCGAATGACTTGAGAAGTTGAATCAATAGTCACTTGAATTTTTCTCATCACGGAGTTTTAAATGTTTGAAAAATGACTGAAAGAACATGTCGAAATATTATGATTCCAGATGAACTGAATAACAACTGAAGAACCAGAAATAAAATAGCCGAACGATTAATTCAAATAGAAAGTGAGTCATCTACATATTTCTTAAATTACTTCTGCCATTAGTAAAAATTGAAATTAAGACTCATTGAGAAAATGGCAATTCTTGAATGAATCACATTCCAAAAGTTCCTGGATATAAATTTTTCAAGTTTTTCCCGATTCATTTTTATTTGTTTATCATAGTAAAATAAAAAAAAATCAGGAAATTCGTCCCCAAGAATTCTTAAGAATCAACATCTATGCCATTTTTCTATAAACAAATATCCCTTTAAAAACTTCATTATCCCTAGCTCTCAATCCTATCAGTTACATCTCCATAAAATATTGAGATCAAGATCAAGATTCATTACAAAATTCAAAATTTACCAATGAATTACAAAAAAATGCAGACATAATATTCCGAGGCATAAAAATAAATAAAATGTGACGTCCAGTGCAGCCCCCCAAGACAAAACGAAAGAACCGCGAAAAATCGGAGACAATATTTGGAGGCATAAATAAAAACAAATAAAATGTGAAGTTCAGCTGCAGCCCCCCCCCCCATGGCAAAACGAAAGAGCGCGACTTGAAAATTCCGCATTGCAATTCCAATAAATAGTCAACATGGCGGATAACGGATTGATGGTTACGATTTCTGGTGCAGCACTTTCTCTTCTGTTTTATGAGAATGCACGGAGCCGAGGTGATCAGGTAAATACCCCCCCACAATTACCTCGATTGCTCGATAAAATGCGAATGGAAATTTTGAATTGTTTGACGTGTAAACAAGCCTCTGGATGACAGTTGTTTCTAACCTAAAAACTGTTGTTTGAATGGCGGTTTTCGTTGACATTCTGACGATATGTTTCGTTGATTGGGATTTTTTGGTGATGCAGATGGGGTTTCTCCTCGGGGAAGTTCTGTCATTGGTCACGAAGAACGTTACTGATTTGGAGAGACATGTGGAGTCGGTGAAGGTTCATGTTGGTGAGTCTGGGATATTCTGGGGGTGGCAGAGGGTAACGAGACTGATTCGTCAGTTCTTTTGATTGGATATTCATCTCGGAGAGTCATTATCATTATTTGAGGGGAAAATAACAAAAGACAGTTTTTATAGCTGAGAAGATTTCTTAGAAAAGTGTTTGATTTTTTGTCATAAAATTAATTAGGCAAATGGACATCACAAAATCATTAATATTTAATTTTGTGGTGCGATTGGAATAAATCAGGACTTATTTTACAGCTTGAAAAATCCCTTCAAAATTAGAAAAATAATTGCACAAGAATTAGACATTGTACAAATGATTTGATTGTATGAAATAAATTAATATTCAAAGAGAAAATGAATTGACTACATGAATTTCCACATTCATGGGAATTAATTTTCGATTTTGCATACATCTTGAACATAAACATTTCTAGACATCCAGAGTATAGTGAAATGCTCACCAACCGATCAGATCTACGACTCAGGTGGCAAGGTAAACGAAGACAAACTGAAGGACTTGATCAAGGACAAGGGCAAGAGCGTCGTAGGATGGTTCAGATTCCGTCGTAACGCTTCACTCACTCCCACTCTGAGGGACAAAATAGTCCACAAACAGTTTCTATCGATCTTTCGAGGCGCCAGTAATCAGATCAATGAGAATTATTTCGTCGTTTGTATGCTTAATGCCTCTGTGTCCCCGGGAGAAGGGACTCACAAGTTCAAGCATGTTTTTCTTCATTACAAGCAGGGGTGAGGCATTTCTTCAAGTGTTTGACCAATTCTATATTCATTTCCTGTAATAAAATGACTCAAAATAATTAGAGCTTAATTTGATTAATTTACTTTATTGAATACAAAAAAAACGTTAAGAAAAAATCATTGCTTCATAGATTTCATTCTACTCTAGAATTTTTCTTTACTTTTTTTGTGTTTCAAGATATTTGTACAAAATCTGCCCGAAAATATAATTTACATATATTCTTTATATCTTATTTGATAAAATTGATATTTATCGAGTTATAATGTTAAAAAATCAGTTACCTGGTCCAACCCAGAAATTTTAATTTGGCATAACTTGAAAAAAAAAATTCAAATAACTTTTTAAGGCATGCTTGGAACATTTCTACATCATATTCAATTTTCATCGAAATCGAAAACGGTGATTGAAATGGTAGCAACGCCCCATATTTATTATAAGATGAAATGGGCGTCTTCTCCATTCATCCATCAATTCAGATGATAAAAATAGTTTTTGATTTATTTTCAGGATGTACAATGCAATTCCACTTAGAATCAACAATCTGGGACATGATGCAACAAAACACGATGGCTCAGACTACAAGCCAACTCCCATAAAATATTCCGATGAGCCAGACAGCTTTACAATGCTCGTCAAGTCATTGAAGTGAGAAAAAATCAATTGATTTAATTATTGTCTTTTTTTTGTTCTGTGAAAGTTGATGAATGATTCTTGGCATTTGCAGTTTGGATTTGGCTCGCACCCCTGGCGTCGAGTCCATCTGCAAGATCGAGGAAGCTGCTGAACAACATCTGGAGCAGATAGTGCCATTGGTAGTCAAGACTGATCGGGAGGTCGCTCTGCTGGAGAAAATGGTGATGGAAGCCAGGCAGGAGCTATTCGAGAAATGCATGCAGAAGGAGATCGAGAGGAGAGAGAAATGCATAATTGAGACTAAGTGCAGACTTCGCAGGGAGAGGGACAAGTTCCAGAGAATTGAGGAGTCCACTTCCAGAAATTCCACGTGTCAGGACGATTTTTTGCTGGGGAAGGAGACATCAGCCACTAGTGTAAGTTTAGAGTTAAGTGTATAGAAATTATGTGATTAAACATTAATTTTGCAAAACATTACTATCATTTATCTCGACGGAAAGAGTTATTAGAAAACATCATACACTTTAAGAATGCGAAATTTTTCTGCAAAAAATTCGTTTCGAAAATAACTCTTTCTCTTTAATATTCTGATGAGTTAATCAAAAACTCATCTCAAGCTAACGTTGACTGGTGATCAAATGTGTCAACTGCTGAATCATTTGTAAGTTTTCCATGAAGTCTTATTTTTTTCCAGAAGCAAAAGACTCTTCACTCCCTGGCCCTTGGCAGCCGCATATCACCCAACAATGAGCACATGTTGAATCCCTTTGCGACTAATAAAAAACCCTCCTACAGTCAGGCAACGAAGAAACATACCGAGAGCATGTTCGAGGACTCTGACCCAAACTGTCGATAATTCATAAAATTGTGTTCACGAGTTTATCGAAAGGTTTTTTCGTTCATTCAATCTTCTTTGTGCATTTCGTAAAAAAAGTTAACAGACTTTAGAAGAGAATAAATAGGAGAGTTTAATGTTTATCCAAAGAGATTGTTATCTGTGTCGTTGGAATTAAATTCCCAATGTATTTTTCATCACAGACCCATTAACATACGTCACTGTAAATATTTTCTTACGTTAAAATATAACTATTAACCAGGGATAATACTTAAATCCGTTTATTCATCACTTGTCGTACTTTCAGTTCGTTTTTACTCATTTATTTACAATTTGCGTTATTAAAAGCTGGCTTTCTATTGAGAAAAAAAAACAAAAACAATAACAAAGTGTTGATAATAGAATAAATGGCCTATGAATACTGTCTTTTGAATAAAAATCTGATTACAAAATGTTTCAAAAAATTGGCACAATTATGATTGTCCTCTTGGGACTGAAAACACATTTAAAAATTCATAGAAGGACAACATAAAAATTTAGAGTAGATCAGCAGGGTTGTTGGGGAGGCCAGTGACCTCCCAGATGGTGGCTGCCAGTCTTCTCGAGTGCTCGAGGACACATGAGGATGTGGCGAGGCCCAAGTGGACGCAATAGAGCTCGTAAATTTGAATTTTGTTGGGTGGAATCTTTGGAAAGCATGCCTGGGCCAATTTCTTGTAATAATCGTCACATAAAATTCCAGGCACTGGAAAATTCTTTATCACGTTATTTAAGTACGTTTTGCATTTAAGTGGAGCGCCCTGGAAAAAAAATTAATCATTAATTCATCATTTTCGTTATCAACTGGAAATGTAGAAGTGAAGAAACAGGATACATTGATTCGTTTCATCAAAAACCCTCTTTTTTTATAAGTTCACTGAATGCACTCCAGCAGAAAATTTTGGAATTTCACTTACCAAGCTGTCCTCGAACCACAGAAAATACGCATAATTAAACGTAGTGTCCTTCCACATGACGGAGAAATGTCCCTCCTGGAGATGACTCCTCCCATGATCGATCATGGACCAGATTTTCTTAGTAGTTAATGCCAGTGTCTCTGGATTGGTGAAGTCCAGGGTGGGTGCAGTCAGTCTGTGAGTGGTCCTATCGATATAAATAAAGTGCACAAGCCCTGGAAACTCCTCGAGATACTTATTAATCGTCAACGAAGTCCTGGACCTCAGGGTGAAGTTCTTAAGAGCCTTGACCTTGAGAAATCCAGTGAAATCATTGAATTTCTGTTTGACGAGTCTGCAGACAGTGAGAATGAGGTCGTTGCCGTGCTTCAGGAAGCTTCTGCTGAAGCAGGTGAGTTTGAAGAGCTCCTTCATGGTCTCGATGAACCCAGATATGTTGGATTCAATCTGGAGGATGGCCTCGGGGTCCCTGGACTTGAGCAGCTCGAGGTACTTCTTCCTTACGAATTCCCATTTTACTTGCAGTCGCCTCTGGCACATGTCCACGTCGTTCCCCACGTGTCCTCGATTCTTCTTGATGCCATCTATTGTCTTCTTGATGGCACCATCGAATTTGTCGAAGGCAATGCGTAGCTCGTCGAGATCCCTCTGCAGCTGGAGGCCATTCATCACGTTCAGATGATAAAAACTCTCGTAAATCCCAGAGGAAGTGCCTAAGTTGGTCACCTCCAGGATGATCACCAGGTGAATGCCCTCTGAGATCTGGTAAATGTGGACTGCATTGGCTGTTCTGCTCTGCTCTGGTCCGAGCAGCACCAGCTGACTGTAGAGACCGTCCTCAGCTAGGGAATTCAGGCTCTCGCTCACTGACGAGTCCCTGGAGTCGTTGAACAGGTGTCCAATGTCTGCTAAGGTTGGATTAGCCAACTTTCCCCCCACCTCGACGGAGCCCTCATCACTGGACCCATGACTCTGGCTCAGCAGCATGTCCTCCTCGTTGTCCAGGGCATCTGATTTGAAATTATCACTGGCGACTCTGCACATCAGGATCATCAGGAGGATGTCCGCTGCCCTGAGGTCTTGGGCATTCTTGCTGGAGTAGAGCGACAGGAATTTGTTCTCCACTAGCACCAGGACGTGCACGTTTGAGAACTCTGACTGGGTCTTCAGCTTGTCCGAGGCGTCGTGCAGGATTTTCAGGGTTGTGGAGGCTATGTCTGTGTTTACAGACAGCTGCTCGACAGATTCCGTTAGGATACTCTGCTCGGTCTGGCGGAGGGCCCTCCAGGCGTCCAGCAGGGAGGACACGAGGCTCGCTTTTTGTCTGCTTGATTTCAATCTGCGAGTTCAACATCACCTTTAGAGATTTAATTATGAGGAATGGCGGGGAAATAAATTGATCGGAGGACTCGGAATTTTTGGATAAAACTATTTTTTTCTGAGAATTAAAAAAATGCTTTTTAATGATGTATGAATGTTAATTTTTAAGACATTTTAGAAAAGATAAAACGTAACTTGGCCTTTAAAAAAAATAAAAATTAAGGACAGAAAGCTTAGATTAGAAAATTTAGTCTGTTAATTCATAAAAATTCAATAAATTTTGATATTTTGAAATAAATTCTATAAAATCCCCAGGGGATGAATTTTCGTTGAGTCACAAAATTTGCTAAATTCAGAATGCTAATGCAATTTAACTCACGCAGCAACATCAGGTCCACAGACGTGGCTGACTATCATAACACAAATCCCCAGTGTTCTCTTCATAAACTCCACATCGTCAGTGGATACATAAATGAAGGTGTAGCCCATAGCATCATCGAAGACCATATTCGTCCCATCCTGGCACTGCATCGAGGTGTAAGAATTTCCAAATTGCGAGGCCATCACCTGCTGTGATGTGACAACCGGCGAAAACAGTTGCATTATCACATTTGCACTGAGTTTCCACGACTCCTCGTCCTTGGTAAAGAGAAATGAGAGTTCATAATTGAGTTTAGGGGTTTAATTGCATTATATAATTGTAATTGCTCCATTTACCTCGTCGTCTGGGATTAATCCCTGAATTTTGCCCAGATTGTGAACGTGTTTCGAGAATTTCCGGTTGCATTTCGTGAACAGAACGTCATTAAGATGATCGAAGATCAGTATTCCCCTCATTCTTAATTAATTTTTAATATTTTATGCTTCAGCTGTCAAAATCAATAGTGACGTTCGTCTTTAGCACATCTGGACCGGCACTCGCTAGGTCTTCACAGCTTCATCTCAATGAAGTATCAACAGAAACACTCACTTTGTTTGTCAACCATTGGGGGAGCGTCAATATTGTCATTATAACTTCGTAAATAATTTCACGAATTATCGCTTGACAGAGTGGTTTCAGCTGGGAGGTACCCCCACTCTGTCCATTCTCCACATGCAGTTGTGTCCCCCACCTCGGATCTTAGGTGAGGAACCACCTTTATCAGTCATCGGTCACGAATCAATTCGAATTACTCCACAATTGTAATTTCGAAAATGTTATGAAAATCGAAATTGATTTTTTTACGAGTACAGTTCGACAATGCAATTATAAAATTGAACTGAAAAAAATAAAACCCAAAGAATAATAATATTTCCTTTACCTTAAAAAAATAAGAAATTATCGTTTCAACATATCGTCTTGATTCCTATCTAATCCATAATTATCACAAAAATCAAATCAGTCGATAAAAAATATTTTTTAATAACAACAACTCGGGAATTCGTGAAAACAAAAAAATTCCAATTGAGAATTGCTGTTTATTTTTTTCACGATTCAATTCATCAGAGTACATAATACCTAGATTTACCCCGATCATACACTTTACCTCCGCTAAATGCATAATTTCGTTTGATTTCGAATAATAAACTTCAAAAATCTGTGGTGAATTGGTAAACTAGGATAAGTGCATTTTTTTTTGGGAAGCGATTTAACGAAAAACCGGCATTTTCGAAAAGAATACACTTATCCTCGTTTACCAATTCACCATAGAAATGAGGTTTCCAGAAGATCAACTAATTTTCATGATCTAAAATTGAATGTAACTCAATTAAACTTTAAATGAAAGATCAAACCCAAGTAAATAAATATTGCCTTCACCAGGATGAAAATAGCAAATTATCACTCCAACATCTTGTCGTGAATTCAATCTATTGATAATTATCAACAAATATTTTTGGATAATAAAAAAATCTGGGATTCACAAAATCAAAAACTCCAATTAGCAATTGCTTTTTATTTTTTTTAACGATCCAATACATCAGAGTACATAACACCTATGTTTACCTCGATCTCATAGACTTTACCTCCGCTAAATGAATAATTTCAGTGATTGAATTGTTCCATTATGGTTAAACCGTTGATAATAAATACACGATTGCACTCAATTGTTATTTAATCTGCCAGTGAATGGTGCGTATGAAGGTGTTTACATACCCCCTATGAATACTCAAACTACTCGCGTAGTTATGATCGCTGTATACATATAATTATATAATATATCTGTATAATTTTCATTTACTCTGTATCATAGTACACGTTGTAACGCATGTACATTGGTACAACAATTATGTACATAACGAATGGTATCGTCGCTATAAACTAACTGGTATTGACGCTTGAGGACTCATCACATTGATAATTATGAATTCATTATGACTAATGAATCTATAAAATGCAATTAGTGATCGTAGAAGCTTCGCAAATCTAATTATCGTATTATCCACTCCCCCGAGTTTGCAGACCAAAGGATTAAGATTGACAATCAGAGAATGGAATTTAAGAAGACAAACAATATTGACTTTGATTTCACAATTGATCTGGATTACTCACTTAATCGTAGATCATATAAATATACTATTATTTTAAGATAACAACTACGTATCTATATTGACCTGACCCTTTCACCAATTTCCTGAATGAAAGCAATGTGGAGAATTTTTGTGGGATGATCCTATCGAGAATTCTGAGATATTTTCTGTAGGAATTTCCTCGAGGTTTAGGGAAAATTGCGTGAATTGTTGTGATGGAAGACCAGGAATTCTGTGAAAATAATTTTTTCATGAAGAATTCGTCAGGGAATTTCCACTATGAAAAATCTCATTTTGCATTTATTCTTTCAATTTATTTATTATTGAAAAATATCTAGAGTTTCTATAGAATTCTGAAAATATTGAAGAAGTTTAGGCCTCCAATTTAAATCTGGATAATTTGGACTGGAGAATTTCTGCAAAATAATTTGAACGCAAAAGTTACAGAATTTTTTTGAAAAATCCAATTTTGAATTCATTTAATTTATTTATTGCTGAAAAAATTCCTAGAGTTGCTACAAATACTCTAAATTTTCCTAACGAATTTGGATTTCCAGTTAATATTGCCTAGAAAATATAAATTTCTCCAGAAATAAAGTCATGTAAACTTGAGTGTAATTACCATTTCCTATAAAAAAAGGTCTGAGGAAGAGTTGCACAATTTTTTACAGCACCAGAATTTCTACAGACCTTCTGTTCTCCTACAAAATACCCCAATTCTCCATACGATCATCCTAGCGTTCCCGTCCCCTATAAATATTTTACACATGAAACAGGAAGAAATATTTATGAAATAAATTCCATCACAAAGAAACGTGTCCGAAGCAAAAATAGACGTTAAAAAGACAGATATAATTATTCATTAAATACGTTCGTTGAGTGCCTGAGTATCATTACGACATAAAACATTCCCCTTTAATAATTTCGGTACATTGGAAGCGGCACAAGCTCTCGTGAATAAGCCCGGATAATCTCTTAATGACAACCGTACCCCCCACTGTGTCGATACTGGTCCACGTACAGTAATATATAATATCAACTACATCATTCGCAACTCGTACAATTAAACGTGTGGTATTTAGTATTAATTTTGTGAGTGCCGGAAGCCGTGCACAGCCCGAACAACGGGGCCCTTTCCACATATAATATATCATTTTTTAACAATAAAACTCTCTAAATGGCTAAAAGATTAACACAGATATTTAACGTCGAACGGTCAACCGATCTAAACATTCGTTTGCATTTATTTTACATGAGTTTAATAATTAACTAGGTATGTAGAGCCACTGCGCGATCCTTGAATTTTAATCGAGATATTGAAGGGAATATTGAGAAATATTTGGTCTTCAATATTCATTTTAGCACCTCAGCAAATAATGCAGTGGAAATTATTAATTTAACAAAATTAATAGAATAAATCAATAATTGAGAAAATTTAAGTCTTTATTTTTTTTCAATTTAATAATTTGGGCGAAAAGACATAAACGTTTCCATAAAAAACACTGAAAAAATTCTATTGACAAGTTAATTGAATTTTCAATAAAATTCCAAGCGAATTCCTTTCCACTAAAAATTAAATATCTCCCTGTTTAAGCAAGGACCGCGCAGAGTCTGAAATGTTGTAGATACTTTCATCGGATTAAGGCTCAATTATTGTCTTCCTTGGATATTTTTATCACCCCGTTTGCGTAAAGGGTGGCTCCAACCAATGAGGTACCCCCTCCCCCCCATCAATCCCCGGGTCCATGAATAATTTCCCTCCTCCCCATGATATTAATCTTCCACGCTAACGAGGATTGTAGTTTGATCTCACGACAAATTGTTGAGCGATTTTCACGCAATCACCCGGCGCTCTCAACATCTATTGCTCTTGACTCATTAGACATATTAAAGCTCGATCAAGCAAATAAAAGTTGTCTCGGAAGATCTATGCATGAGGAAGCTATACAATTATGCGTCGTTACAACTCACTAAACGAAATAATCGTCCAATCACCGTTATCCGTTTTGAAACAACTATCGTTACTATATTTTATCATCATTATGTCAACTATTCTTTATCTCATCGTGTAATTTTATAAACATATAAATCCCTCACCAACTCCGAGCTCCTGTAGGCTTAATATTCACGTGAATCGAATGATTGAATTCGTAAATTAAAGTCTAAATAAATTTTTACTAACAAAATAATTTCATCTTCTTTATGGCTGATGGAACTTTTGAGCTTCCATTCATTTAACTTTGGGTAGTTTCGATGTTTTCTTTCAGGGACACGCGTGTATGGTCGCGTGAGGACGATATCATGACTATCAATCGTTGATCTAATTTGCAGGTCTTAATTATCTTTATTAGGCAATTATCTGCATTGGCTGCGCCGGTGGAAATATTTAATTGAAAAATCTAGCCTTTTGAAAATTCTCTAAGAATTCTATTGGTCTTTTACGTTATCTATACAGAAGATTATGCAATGTGTCATATAGTTTACAGATATTTTATGGGAAAATGTCTTGAGATTTTTATTTTTCCATTGCAATTCTTGGGCATAAATCTTCCAAAATTATTTTGCTGTACTTTTTTTTATAAAAAAAATACAAGAGAAGACTAAAAATTTATGTCCAAGAATTTTCCAGAACTAATACCAATAGAATGAGTTAAATCGAGAAATCACAATCAATTTGAACAATAAACAAATGGAATTTTTTGATAAAAATACAACAGAATGCTCTAGATTTTTCTATTAAATTATTTCACACCTGCTAATGATCCATGCTCGTCCCTTCGTAGTCTCCATACTTTATAACAAGGACCGCACGTAATACTGATACAATATTGTCTCTATAATTTTGGTATTGATTAATCTCTTAATAATCTCGGTGTTTGTATTGAATAATTTACAACGCTTTCGTTTCACTGTCCCCCTCCCCCTATGGATTGCAAATTCACTTTCATCCCTCGTGAATGAATTATGGCCGTCGATTAATGGTGATTTAATAATTACTCGGACACGTTGGCTGGTTCCAGTCGCCGAATACATTGAGCTCGTACATTGTGGCGAATACGATGAAAATCAAGTACCAGGCCATCAGCACTGCACCGTACCTTCGATCGAGCTTCCAGCCATTCAAGTGAGTCGCGAAGACTAGGAATACTACGGTTGATAGGAGTGACACTGTCGAGTACGTTAAACCTGGAGGAAAATTTAGATTCGTGGGCTTTTCAAAAGTTTTTTTATTACTACGAGCTTCACACTACTTGGCTTCAAAAAATGTTACACTGGATTTTTTATTAAAGGATTTTTTTATCTGTTCTGGGAGAGTGGAGCTACTTCCATTTAACAATGACTGATGGTTCGGTGGTTTCATATTGAGAGGAGATTGATTATTAACAGACGTTTGAATCTGTTATTCACGAATTAATTTAGTGGGGAAGCATCACGATTTATGGTAAATTATGCATCTGTGAATTTAAGGACATTTTTGTGACAACTTTTTTGAAATCTATTGAAATTATATTCGTTTTATTGATTTTCATCGATGAATGCGAATTTTAGTGGACTTTGATTTTTTTATGAGGCATTCTCTTGAGATTTTTTTTCTATAACTATGATTTTTTTTCTGAAACACGATTGATAACTCAATTATTTTTCCCCTGCATAATTACCTCTGCTGGTGACATTGACATGAGACCCAGGTTGAATCATGGCTGTTTGGATGAACCAGGGCAGCCCGAGACACACGAGAATGTCGAAGACATTGCTGCCGACGGCGTTGCTCACTGCCATGTCCCCAAGACCCTCCTTAATCACCGCCAGTGATGACAGAGCGTCTGGGACGCTGACACCAGCTGCGACGAATGTCAGGCCCATCACGGTGTCAGGAATACCGAATGTGCTGCCTGGTTTCGGGAGAATAAAGCAAAGCAAGAAGAGTCAGATCAACCCAAAGAATACACAGAGAAGAAAAATTTTTGATTTTCAGGAACATGTCATTGATTTCAATAATAGATTTTTAATTCTCAATTAACTGTACTTATAATATTTATATATTATGAATTATTAACTATTAACAATAATTTCTTAATCATTTATGTAATTTCAATAATTGATTGCGATAGATTTCTAAAAATCATGAGTAAAATTTGGCTGTATTTTTCTCAAAATTAGTGACAAAATAATTCGGAATTCGAATATTTAATTGATGATTAATTTAATTTGCACTAAAATTTATGATTACGCCGATGTCTGCCCTTAATTACTGAGGACAGGTCCCTGAGAATTAGGAATGAATGACTGAATGAATGAATGAAAGTTTGTTCTCTCTCACCGATAATTGTGATCATCCAGACCATGATGTAGCTGTAGAAGCTGATCCACACCATCGACACGCAGAAGGTGAACGGGTACCAACTGCGCCACTTGGGCTGCCGGCAGTCGGGCATGGTGGCACGACACGTGTAGTGAATTGGGTAGACCAAGTGCCAGGTGAAGAGTCTCCATTGACTCGCGTCCACCGGTCTCTCCAGTGGAGACACCTCGTTAGGATCTGCCTCTTTTGCCTTGTAGTACTGGGGTTGCGATGCGGGGGGTGGGGGAGGAGGCTGTTGAGGATTTTGTTGCTCTCCGGGGGTGGGTATTCCTGCAGATGAGAATTTACGCTTCAATTTTCGAATAGTGGCTTTTAAAAACGTTTCACAAATGTGAAATTCCTCTTCATATTTCGAAAAAATAATAAATGGAAAAAATGAAAAAATAACTATAATACAGGCCAATTTAATATATTTTTCGAAAATATATAAGATTTATATAGAATATATATGAAACATATAAATTGATATTTTATACAACTTTTATATGTTAATAAGATCAATTCCATATCTAAAATATATAATTTTTCAGAATATATATTTTTCCGTATGTGTAAAATGAAAAAAATGTATTTAAATTTATTGAATTTTTTTCGGTTATGATGAATTTTGAATTATTCCGCAGACACGAAAGAATTTCGCAGAAGAACCTAGCGAATTTAATAGAAAATTCCATGGGATTTCTACTTTTGATTATTTCTACTGAACTTCTGTTGAAGTTTAATAATAATCAGTTGATAGCTCCTTGGAGATACGAACCATCTTGACTTTTAATTTGCTCAGTAACCGGTGAATTAGGCCCAGTGTAGGACTGCCTGTCCTCCTGCAATGATCTGTAGCTGACGAGTGCACTCTGCTCAGCGGGCTCATCGTCCTTAGGAAGGAAGGGAATGTTGTACGACTTTGCCCAGCGTTCGAGGCGCTCGTTGTAGGACAGGGCAACGCAATAAACAACGTACGTGATCAGCATGAGTAATGCCTCAGGCCTGGAGAGATAATGAAATTGAGAAACTCGTTGCTATTTCGAGTATCGAATAGGATGAAGTTTGAATTAGTTTGAGTTTAGTATTTACCAGCTTATTATTTTGTTGTAGATTGTTCCCAGCATCACTAGGATCGATATAAAATAGAAGAAACAGTCTCGACACAGGGGCCACCAATTTAACTTTGATACTGTGGTTGTGCACAGGCCGCAGACAGCTATCACGAACATTATGTTGAATACAGCACTGCCTATCACTCCGCTCACCTGGAGGAGACAATTTGTCGATAAATACACGCACAAAAAAATCAGAGACACTCAGCGAATTCGGTATGATATTTTATTGAATTTACACTGTTATTCTAGTGAGAATTCTATTCGTTTTTGGCCGATTTTATTGAACAAATCCGCAACTCTATTGCACTTTTAAAAAAATCTTCGATGGAAACTATTTTATAGAAAAAATCAGGAGAATTTCATCTTTCTGTGCAACTTTTTCTTTAGATATTCCGCCGCATTACTTTTCAATTTTTTCCACTCAATTTCATTTTTTCTCGTTAATTTTTTTTATCAAAAAATCAAAGAAATTTCCTTCTGGCCATTCGATTCAGTTTAGTTTTGCACATTACCTTCTATTTTTATTTCTATTTTCAGAGTCTTATAATAGGTGAACTATAAATTTCAACATAAATCCCACAAGAGCCCGTGTATAAGGAAAAATTTGTTCATTTATTTCTAGTGAGGCTATTGCGATTATTTTTTTTAACATCAAAGAAGTTGGTTTCACATGTTCTGCTATCAGCGAAAAAAATTCTAGAATTTTCCTTGAACATGAAAAAATAAAATTGGCTGAGAATGGCTAAACCCCCTTAAAATAAGTAAATTGGTTCTCCTGGCTCTGCGATTGTTATCAAATGTTCCCCATCTGTGGAATAGAATCGATAGAGATCAATTACCCCGATGTCATCCTGCGCGAAGAACACACCGACGATAACAGTAGCCAATTCAGGAGCCGATGAACCAGCGGCCATAAACGTTGCCCCAGCAACGTCCGGCGACAGTCTCAGCTCCTCGCAAATTCTGTCGAGACTCGCTACGAAGTAGTCATCACAGACAATAGCCAGACCGAGAAATGTGTAAATGGCAGCCAGAATGTGAATTATCAGACCACCGTGCTCTCTACCCCATTTACCCATAAATGGCTTTGGAAATTGCTCAATTGCCGGGGCTGTGCAATTTTCGCGAGGAGGACGCCACGTTGGGTGATGAGAACCACCTGAGGAGGCTGTTGTTTTTGCTGGGGACATCTAAATTGTTATGGAGACAGTTTCTTTGATAAGTGCATACTTGAAATTTGAAAATCCCCAGAGGATGTCGAGCTTTTAATGGAGTACCTGAGATGAGGCAATTCTACTTTGAGATCAGTTTTGGGGAATATCTCCCGATGATATTGAGACAGATATTTTTGGGGAGAAATTTGTTGGAATTGTCTTTTAGAAACTCGGAAAAAAATTTGATAAGAAATCCTAAAGAATTCACTAGACAATTCTATTGGATTTCTAGTAGTTTTTGGTCGATTCTATTGAAATGTTCAACAGAAAATATTCCATCGAAACATTTTCCATAGAATTTCCTCGGCGCAAATTTTCAACAACAAAGTTTTTTGTTGATTATCTTGATAAAAAAAACAAAGATAAAATGAACAAAATTGGGTAAATTTGAGTCGAGGCAGTTCTATAGAAAATATCTCAACAGAATAAGTTGTTCAGAAAAATGGAGTTCGATTGACTTTTTCTGTGGAATGATAACTGTGGCGGATAACTAATAAGAGTTCCGTAGCAATCCAAAAGAATTGTTCCGCAAATTCGCTAGGTTTTTCTATTAAATTTTTTCGTGCGCGATCTGTTGAATTCTTGGTCAGTTGTCAATAAATATCTCGGAATTTAAGGCAGATAGCAAATTTTCGCCGTCTTCCTTGGATTCAAAGATATTGCCAAAAACTGGCCTCAACATAAAATAGACTAGTGGTGTTAGCCCATCCATATTAAATTTATTCCGCGATACGAGGGTAAAACTTTGTATTCCCCTCATAAATAATCGAGACATCCTCAAGAGCAAAGGCTCGACATTCAACAAAGTTCAGCAATAACTGTCTGAAAAAAACATTGTACCGTTGTTGGTGAGTCAGTGTTTCTTTCACTTCTGGCCGTAGTTTCATATTTCTTCTTCGCCTCGCCAGTCGTTGTAGTGCCCTGAGTGGTGACTTCTTCCTTCTTCGGTGCAATACTACTGCTAATAGTTTTCGTTACTGTTGTCGTATAAGTTTGATCAGGCGGTATCGCTGACGTGGAAGAATTTGAGGAAGTCACGAGTTGTATGAAAATGTAAATAATAAATAGGGCCAAATGCAGTGGCCATTTTTGTCTTCGTGTCAGGCGTCTCGGCGTTCTCATAGCCTACGATAAACATATGAAGCATGACAGATTGCAGCTATCGTTCAGTACCTCAATTAATATAATTAACTCATAATCGACATCCGTTAATTATTTTCGCTCTATCGGTGGCATCCGCACGTTGCCATTGAAGCCTCGGTGGAGATCGATATCACATCTCTCGCTGAATGGTCACGTATTTCAAACACACGACGGGAGGGAAGAGAAGAGACAACGAGGAAACAGATGAGTCAACGCTTTTCCCGTTTGTAATCGATTCGTTCTATTCTGGTTTTATTACTATCACAATAATTGGTTCTCGTTTGATGGAATTATTAACAATTTGACATTCAGCGATGGTAGAATTTGGGAAAACTACATCCAGAGGAATGACAGATGGGAATAATATTTTCAATGGAAAATATTGTACGGGAAAAATTTATTTTTCTAATGAAATGCAATTCAATATAAATTCAATAGAATTTTCCCTCGAATTCACTAGATTTTTCCACCAATTTTTTTCATGCCTGTTTTGTGGGAATTGACAGACTGACGTCTTTATTTCAATGAATATGTCTTGATCACGTAATTCCATCAATTAATTTGCGAATTGAAAATCGGAAATTCTCAATTTATTCTCTCACAACAATTATTCCTCATTCCGTGAAATCAATAACAATTTGGGCAATTTTTCTACTAGATTTGATCTATGAATTAATTTTTTACATCACGTATAGGCAAACAAAATCGAGTGTTGTTTTGTCTTCTCCCCAATAACTCCTCAAAGGATAGAAATGTGATGAAAAAATGGATGAAAAAATGGAATTCATAATTTAATTTTTCAATCGAAAATCGACGATCCTCAATTCACCCTCTGGCCGCAATTACCCCTCACCCGCGGAAATTAATAACAATTTGGCATTCATCAAAGGTAAACTTTCCGCCTTTTCACAGTCGGTCTCGTTCTCCTTTGAACCCATGCCAAAACTCAACTTCAAACGATCGATTTCCCGACGCCCCCGTGCATTCTCCACCCCTCACCCGAAACCCCCTTAATTCCCCGCGTAATTTTCATTCCCCCGAGACCCACCATTAAACAATTACCGGATTAAATTGACACCCGACATCCCAGCGACCCCAAAAACACTCGGAGAAAAACCCGAGTCCCATCTCCACTGAGAACCCGTTCAACGAAAACCAGTAACGCGAGTTATCGATCAGAACAAAAAAAAACGAAAAAAGGGATAAGATACTATTTCCCTGTCACTTCACCCTTCCGTTTACTCGACTGTAGCTGAGAGTCTCGTCCCCCCAGGAAGACGGAGGAAAAATAAAGAGGGGGATGAAAACCCACACGAGGAGGAATTCATTCAAGTACTCTCCCTATTCACCAGATTTTCCCTTCCCCCAACCCTTTTTATTTTTTTCCAAAACTCTTCATCGATCGAGCCTCTTCCACCGCTCTCGCGCGTCACTGGCAACTCAATTAACCGTGTCCTCACTCAAATCACCCAGAACAAATGAAACTGATTGCGCAATGAGTGCACCTGCATTTCGCGTTATGAATTTAAATGTCAATTGACGGAAATCAACAAGAACAATCGAACGACGGAAAAGCGCACTCGAGAATGATTCAGTAGCTGCACTAGCTGTTTATGCAAGACACGAGTGACCTAAAAAGACTTATCAACATTCCGGATAAAACATTTCCCCCAGAAGGAAGCCCTCACCCCTAGTCCGGCCCGAGGGGAGCGAAACTTTTCAAATTGACGGCCAACTAATGACATTATTGATTTACCCAAAGTACCAGAGACGTGACGGGAATAATAAAACCCAAGGAATACTGGAAATATGGATAATTTAACTTACCCCAGCACTCGATGTCACATCCATGGCATTCGGCATTCTTATCACTCCCTTACCTCGTTTATCCGCCCTATTATACTCCACTCGACTTCTTATTATCTTTTTTATTGTACTCTCATTCACATTTCACTCGCACCTGACCCCCTCAACAGAACCCAAGTGCCTCTTCCGTGTATTTTATCTGTTCTACTACAGCATTGCACACCTCAGCCGGGACTGAAATATGATAAAAAGCACTCGATGCTCATTGGCGCGGAATCGAGCACCTCGTCAAACCACCCTCGAGCCCCCGGTTATAGGCAGATGTATTATTATTATTATTTTTTTTTTTTCAATTTGCGTATTGTGGAGTTATTGACACTCACGCTGGGACTGTCACCCTTTGGAGGGGAGGATTTTTACTTCGTCGAGAGCCGCACCGAGCTTACGGCCGGTTCTCCAACGCCTACGGGATTTCCTCGGGTTACAATGGTTGAAGCTTTTCGATTCAACTTGTACGCTTGCGCAATTACGGATACTCGAAGGGGTTTTTTAGGTGGGGTGGGATTGGGGGTTGTAAATCGGGTGAACGTCACACATTGGCCCGCGGGAGATTCCGGATAACGGGGTGACGGGGAGTGGACGCGGGGCATTGCGTTTTGCGTTTTGTTTTCGGGGTTTATCGATGGAAATTATTTAGAGTGATTATATCCAGCAGATTTCGGTTTTATTTGAGAGCTTGGGGGGCGGTGTTCTCCTTTTCTAGATGGGATTAGATTTTTTTGCGTTTTACTGAATATGTTCAACTGATTTTCGTTATTTTAGTTATTTCTACTAATTTTCGGGGACTTGAGGAAATCAAATTAACGGTTTCTATTGATTTTTCTAGACAGTTTGGAATTTTTCCTTCATATGTCAGTTGATATTTTATTGTAATTATATCCAGAAAAGGGGGAGGGTAGGTTTTCAATCGGGTGAATGTCACACAAAATGGCCCTTGGGAGATTAATGGATACGGGGGTAATGGTGTATTGAACGCAGGTTCATTGCATTTTACGGTATGCTCTTGGCCTTTAATTATCGGTGGAAATTATTCAGACGGATTATGTCCGGTAGATTTTGATTTTATTTATCAAATTGAGGAATGATATCGTCATTTTGCAGACGAGATTAGATTTTTTGCTTTGAAAATTCAGGGAAATTCCAGACTTATTCACCTGAATTTTCCTTATTTCTACTAATGTTCGTAAATTGATGAAATAGTTCCTCTCAATTCCAAATAAATATCATTTTCCCCTGGAGCCTTTTTATTTCTGAATTTCTTTCTTCTTACCCTCAAAACTCACCATATTCAAGATGAAATGGGACAACTGATGAATAACAAAGACTTTTATAGAGAAAATTCAGTCGTTAATCTAGTTTATTGATATATCTTTGTTTCTTTTATCATTTACCTTAAAGACACTTATCTGAATAGAGGTTTCGTTTGGGTTTATGGGGGTTGAGGATTAACTGGGGTTCTGATTGAATTTTACGGAATAGCCGCCTGAGGATGGGTCCTGCTCCATCTTGAAGTTCTCGGTCGACAGACCGAACGGTCGGAGGATCATGTTGCCCAGGTCCTTGAGTTTTCCCAGCATCTCTTGCTTCAGTTTCTCATTTCGTTCGTCTATCAGTGGGGGCAATCTCTGGAATTGTGAAGATATTTTTTATCAGGGGATGAAGGATTACTGGCAAACAATTGGGGAAAAATTGTTCTCTTTCTAAATTTATTCCTGTGATGATGAATCCGAGGAAAAAATCACTTCAATCCGTTCAACTTTATCAAGTTCTCAAGGAAAAAATTGTTCCCCATTCAGAAAAATATTCTTTATTTGAGGAAATTCGTTCCTGGGTTTTTTCAATCTGATTTTGTCTGAATTGGAATGGATCTGGGGTGCAATAAATTTCGGTTGGGTCCTCTCGGGATCGTTTGAAGTGATAAGAAAGAGTCGGGGGAAATACGTACCCTCACAGCGTGATTGGCTTCGGTATTCTGGGGATCGAGTTCTAGGATCTTTTTGAAGTCAGCTAGTGCCTCGTCCAGCTTGTCCTCCTGCTCGTACAGCTGGGCACGTCTCAGGTAGGCTTTCAGGTACGTCGAGTTCAACTCGATGGCTTTTGAGCAGTCTTCTATCGCTGAGGTTCTCTCCTGAAACGTTCAACAATGAACTTAATTATTATCTCACAAGACGAAATACCCATGACAGATAGTATTTATAAATCTTAAAGGATATCTTGACCCAACTAATTAATTTCTTTATCGTCATAAGTAGAAGAATTATCTTATGATTTATATCACTGGTTTTCCAAGGAAAATCTTTAAAAATTGATCATTGAATGCTTGAGTTCAAGTTATTGCTGAGAAATAAAATGAAAGTCATATTTCCTTATTCTTAATTTAAAAAATTTTTGTTTGTAATAAGTCTAGACTGAACTCAATTGATCAATTCTTCTCTCAGTTATCAACATTGAGAGCAAAGTAAAAATTGTTTGCTTCGCCTCACGCTTCGCTATTATAATCCATATAATTTAATTACGTCACATTTCGCCCTCGCAGCTCCTCTATTAGCGAACAAAATCGCCCGATCCTTGGGATACGCCAGGGGACACGTCTGGAGGGCCTGAGTGTACTTCACCATCGCCTCTCTGAACTCAGACGATTTGAAAAAGCTATTTCCCTCGTTCTTCAATTCCTCAGCATCTGCTCTCAGTTTCTAAATCCCATAAAAGATCAATTAATTAACTCCACAGTTGAAAGAAAAAAATGAATTGAATTCTATTTAATCAGAGGGGATGCAATAAGCACGATGTGATGACGAATATGTTATGTTATAATATTGAAAATCATTTTAAATGATGAAAAAAAATGAGGGATTTTTCTTGAAAAAAAAATTCAATCAGACCTCCTTCTCCTCTTCACTCAGAGAGACCTCTCTGTCCTTGAGTGCCTCCTCGTCAACCCAATCGTCCCTGGACTCCGGTGGAACGGACTCACAGGTCTCTGAATTCTCCTCCGAGCCCTTGCCCACGTTCTCCCAAGGGTCATCCTCAGATTTAACTTTGAAATAATCACCCTTCCCCTCGTCTTTACCAAGCGTTTCATTTTTTTCATCGACACACGACTTCTCCAGGTCCTTCGTTAAATCCTGGATGATCTCCTCGTTCGATGGAACTTTGCTCTCCCCCTCCATTATCAATCCTACTAATCGATTTTGTTTATTTTAGGATGTTTTGTTATTCCAAAGAGGTTATAATTATCACTTTAATCGATTCTGAAGGGCAGGCTTTGTAACTCTCTGTTGGTGACGTGCAGCAATGAACAATGACTTAATTAGTCTTTTGGAACGATCTGATCAATCGGTGATTATTGCAAAACAAATTATTGTTCTTTTATTATTACTTGACATGACCGGGGTGACAGCACTGATGACTCACGCACAGATATCAATTCTCAGAATTGGACATGAAGAAATCTACTGTATTGACTGACTGGGAGCTGAATGTTTCGATAGTTGAAATACGTATCGATATTTCGATATATCGCCCCGAAAATATCGTCACGTATGGAAAAACAGCGATCTCCTCACAAAATTCTGCAAAATTCTATTGAAACAGTTATTTCTAGTATTTCGTAATTTCACACAAACATGGATTGAAAAAACTCCTCAAAAGTGTAGTTCGTTCAAATTTCCGCTACTGACGATTGAAATATCGAGTATCGAACTACGAGATATCGACACCTACTCCTTCAATGTCTCCTCGACCCCCCACTTCTCCCCACCATTCGGCGCATTCGGCGTGGGGACAGCGGGAGTGATCTTCCACCTATTATTTTACGGTTATGTTTTATGTTTACGTTAAAAAAAGTCTCGCATACGCTGATAACCCGCAGAAGCCGTTCGCCGCAGCCATAAGGTAAGAAACAGCATTCCCAGGGGATGTTCTCGTGGTTCTGACAGAGTGAACTGCTTCCAGGGGTGGGAATAATCGCCCAGAACATTGGTGAATGTTCACTGCCACTCGATGAGCGCCAGAGAGGCCAGAGAGAGAGCCAATCAAAATACATAACCTAATAAGCTAATATTTTTGATAAAAATATTGAACCCCAAGTACAAAAATAAATACTTGTGCCTGACGATGTCCGACTCGGAGGAGAGTAATTACTCGGGGAGTGAGAGGGGCGGTCGCAGCGGTAGCGGTTCGGTGAGATCAGCAGCTGGAAGTGGGAGATCGGTGTCCCGGAGTCGTTCGCGCTCGCGAAGTCGCTCCAGGAGTCGCTCGATGAGGTCCCGCTCGGGGTCGGGGTCGGAGCGAGGAAGAGGCGACGAGGCCGTGGAGGCCCGATCGGACGAGGAGGTGGAGCCCGAGGAGGAGCCCGAGGGCGAGGACCTGGACAGCGAGGAGGACGAGGAGGAGGAGGAGGACCGACCCAAGAAGAAAAAGAAGAAGGACAGATTCTGTGGCTTCATCGATGACGAGGCTGAGGTCGACGACGACGTGGAGGACGACGACGAGTGGGAGGATGGGGCACAGGAGATGGGAATCGTTGGGAACGAGGTGGACGAGGTGGGGCCAACGGCCAGGGAGATTGAGGGTCGCAGACGTGGGACCAATCTCTGGGATTCACACAGGGAGGACGAGATCGAGGAGTACTTGAAGAAGAAGTATGCGGGCGAGTGTGGTGCGACTAGACACTTTGGGGATGGGGGGGAGGACATGGGGGACGAGATCACCCAGCAGACACTGTTGCCAGGGGTTAAAGATCCCAATTTGTGGATGGTCAAGTGCAGAATTGGGGAGGAGAAAGCCACTGTTCTCCTGCTGATGCGTAAATTCTTGACTTATCAATTTGCCAAGGATCCACTGCAAATTAAATCGGTGGTGGCACCTGAGGGGGTCAAGGGTTACATTTACGTTGAGGCGTACAAACAGCCGCACGTTAAAGCGGCTATTCAGAACGTCGGTAATCTCAGGATGGGCATTTGGAAGCAGCAGATGGTGCCGATCAAGGAGATGACTGATGTGCTGAGGGTTGTCAAGGAGCAGACTGGCTTGAGGGTTAAACAGTGGGTGAGACTCAAGCGGGGACTGTACAAGGATGACATTGCTCAGGTGGACAATATCGACGACTTGAAGCACAATCAGGTGACCCTAAAGCTTCTGCCGAGGATTGATTACACGAAGCCGAGGGGGGCGCTGAGAACAGCCCAGTCCGAGAGCGATGCTCTGAAGAGGAAGAAGGGGAGACGACCAGCTGCCAAACTCTTCGATCCTGGGGCGATCAGAGCCATTGGGGGGGACATAACGAGCGACGGAGACTTCCTGATGTTCGAGGGCAACCCCTACAGCCCCAAGGGCTTCTTGTACAAGAAGTTTCTCATCAATGCCATTGTCACTGAGGGGGTCAAGCCCACTCTGTCGGAGCTCGAGAAGTTCGAGGAGGCACCGGAGGGCGTGGACCTCGAGCTCGACAGGTCTGACGGCTCCAGGAAGAAGGACATGGCGTCCACCCACTCCTTCAGCACTGGCGACAATGTCGAGGTCTGCGAGGGCGAGCTCATGAATCTCCAGGGTAAAATCGTGTCCATCGACGGCAACATGATCATGGTGCTGCCCAAGCACGAGGAGCTCAACGATCCCCTGGAGTTTCAGTCCAACGAGCTGAGGAAGTACTTCAAAATGGGCGATCACGTGAGAGTCATTGCTGGAAGGTACGAGGGTGACACTGGCCTCATTCTCAGAGTTGAACAGAACCTTGTGGTGCTGTTCTCCGATCTGTCGAATCACGAGTTGGAGGTACTACCCAGGGACCTGCAGCTGAGCCCAGATGTGGCGACTGGGGTCGACAGACTTGGGCAGTTTCAGTGGGGCGATCTTGTCGACGTTGACAAGCAAACTGTCGGCATGATTGTTCGTCTCGAGCGTGAGAACTTTCACGTACTCCAGAATGACGGTAAAGTTGTGCAGAAGAGGCCACAGGAGTTGACCAAGAGGCGTGAGAATCGCAACACATTTGCCCTCGATCATCAGCAGAATGAAATACGCAAGAGGGACATCGTTAAGATCATCGATGGGCCACACACCGGTAGAGATGGTGAGATCAAGCACCTCTACCGGAGTTTTGCATTTGTCTATTCACGACTGTACGTCGACAACGGGGGTATCTACGTCTGCAAGACGAGGTATCTGCAGTTGGCTGGTGGAGCGAAGAGCAATTCGTCATCGGGGAGTGGACTGGGTTTCATGTCTCCACGTATCAGTTCACCGATGCACCCGAGCGGCGGAGGGGGAAGGGGTGGCGGTGGACGAGGTCGTGGCCGAGGGGGTGGAGGCCCTGGTGTTCGTCGTGAGCGTGACCTGATAGGCACGACGATCAAGATCACTGGGGGCCCTTACAAGGGTAACGTCGGCATCGTGAAGGACGCCACTGACAGCACAGTCAGGGTGGAGCTGCACTCTACCTGCCAGACGATATCTGTCGACAGATCGCACATTGCCAAGGTGGGAGTGCCAACCAAGGACGGCAGCTTCAGCTCGTACACGAGGACCCCGGCGTACTCCAGTGGCGGACAGACACCGATGTACGGCTCCAAGACCCCCATGCACGGCTCGCAGACTCCGATGTACGAGAATGGCTCGAGGACACCGCATTATGGCTCTATGACGCCTTCACACGACGGCTCGAGGACCCCCGGACAGTCTGGGGCGTGGGATCCAACGGTCACCAACACACCAGCCAGAAGCAACGACTTTGACGCCTACAGTCTGGAAGACGGTGGCTCCCCAGGCTACGGCTACCCCTCCACTGGGGAGCCCTTCACCCCTCAGACCCCCGGGACCATGTACGGGTCGGAGCAGAGCTACAGTCCTTATCAGCCGAGTCCAAGTCCCAATGCCAGTGCTGGGACTAGCCCCAGCCCCGCTGGCTATGTCGCTCCATCTCCATCTGGTACTGGCTACACTACCAGTCCAAGGATCTTCCCGTCCCCATCGCCCATCAACTACAGCCCCATGACTCCTGGAGCTGCTGGAAGTCCTTATAATCCGCAGACACCGGGGGCTGGACTGGACACTGGAATCGGCGGGGGACTCATGGGGAATACTGAGTGGCACACTGTCGACATCGAAGTCAGGATCAGGGACTCACATCAGGATCCTGCACTCGCTGGACAACAGGGGGTCATACGAGGAATATCTGTGAGTCATTCTTTTGAGCTACAGGTCTTTCAGTAGCGAAGCGGTAAACCGGGTCAAGTCGATTTTGACTTTTGGTCATGACCTCTTTCGTAACCCTCAGTAGGAGGGTACCCTCTACAAAAACACGTCAGGACAAAATTTTTTCTATCTCTTTTAGATTCCCAGATGGTCGCCAAAAACTTACCGTTTCACTACTGAATTTAAGGGATAAACCTGGCGGTTTCGGTGAGAAATTCTAGGGAAGTTCTGCTAGAATTTTATTGAAAAATTACATTTGGTTTTGAACCTCATTTGTAGTCAAAATTATGCCACTCCTCCGTGGGTTTTCTAAATAGTTCTTTTTTAAAGTTCCTTCTTGGATTTTATTATCAGAAGCAAATAAATAATACAGAAAAAAATTTGAGCATTAACGCCAAAAAATTTGTATATAAAAATCAAAATCTATTGACTTTTCTCTATAGAATTCTAGAATGCCATAATCTTCCATAGACTTGGTGCAAAAAACAAATAGAATTTTTCAATAGAATTCCAATAGAAATTCAATACAACATCTTAGAGAAACCGCCAGATTATTCAGTGAAATTTTTTCATGCGTTCTCTCTTTGCATTCGAAATATTGTCAAGTTATTCATTTGACAATAATAAATTCGTATTTATTCATCATTCAGGGTGGAATGTGCTCTGTATTCCTGCCAGCTGAAGATCGCGTCGTGAATCTGCTTTGCGAGCAATTGGAGCCAGTTGTGCCCACTCATGGTGATCGGGTGAAGGTTGTACTTGGTGAACAGCGCGAGGCTGTTGGCACTCTCCTGTCTATTGACACACAGGAGGGTGTCGTTAAGCTCGCCAGTGGGGGACTGGCCATGTTGCAACTGAGATACTTGTGCAAAATGAAAACACCGGCTTAGAGCTCCTTTAAAAATCGGTTTCTACTCATTCCTCATTTTCCAATCCTTCGTTACTCACCTGGGGTATACGGCACTCCCCAAGAGTTCTTGAATATTATCATTATTATTATTATTATATATTATTATATAATTTTCGTTGATTCATCTATCACGTGATTATATATAGGTATTTTTTTTTTTCAAACTTTCAACTATTCAATTCATGTCTTTTTAACAATGTTGATTTTTTATTCAACAAAATGTCATCGAACAACTTTTTCAAAAATCAGATGTGAGTAACGAAGGGATCAATAGAGGTGTGTGGGGCAAAATGGAGCCATTTGATTTTTCTTCGAAATGTTGATGATTAATTCAATTTCCAATGAATTGATAAATATTCAATTGATAAATTTGTCTTCAAGTATCAAGTAAGAGAAATGTCAAGTATCCATTTTGCCCCATTCTCCCCTGTAACTAGAACTCGAGTACGGTTCTAGAAATTAAGGTGAATGCCTCAGAATCTGAACGTACAAATAGAACAATTTTTTATGGGCAATAGAACACTCCCCATTGAACTCCTAAAATATGGGATCATATAATATACTTCAGGACTCGGGGATATTTTCAATGTTCAGAAAGGTTCGGCCACTGTGGTATTCCCTTTAACAAATTATTTAGGACAAAAATATATATAACAACGTTATCCCAAGTTTCAGTTTTTTAGAGTTTCTTAGAGAAGAAATCCTGACATTTGTCATTCAACAAATTTTTCTAAAATCAGATGACTAACGAAGGGATCAATGAAAGGGATCAAGCGTGTGGGCCAAAATGGACCCATTGGACTTTTCTTTGAAATGTTGATGACTAATTCAATGGACAATGAATTGATGATTCTTCAATTGATGAATTTGTCTCCAGAAAATTGACAAAATTGTCTTCAAGTAAAAAAATGTCGAGTATGCATTTTGCTCTACGTTTCTAGAAATTAAGGTGAGTGTCCCAGTACCTGAACGTCCAAACGGAACATCATAATTTTTATAGACAATAGAACACTCCCTTAGAACATATCAACTTGCTTCCCCAATGAACTCCGACAATATGGCATAAAATAACAAATTTCCGACCTCGAGAAATATTTAGAATGTCCAAAAAAGTTCGGCTACGGGGACATTCCCCTTACCAATTACTTAGTACTAAAACCTGTATAAGACGTCATCCCATGTGTCAAATACTTTTGGAGTTTCTTATCCGAATAAAACCTACGTTTCGAATAAACGTCTCGTGCATTGATAATTATTTATCAGGTGTGGTAATTAATTTCAAAGGATATTTTAGTGAAAAGAGCAAGAGGAATATTCTCGACTGAAAACTAAATTTGTTTTAATCACCGTATCGTATCGTCTACAACGTTTTATCATACTTCCTGGCAACAGACAGATTTCAGGATGGAAAAATCAAATATCCTTTGGAGAAATTCAATCTTAAAACCCTCAAAAATGAATTACCACCCCTACTAATTGTTTCCCGGGGATAATACAGAATATACCGCGATAGAAAAATGATTTTTGCCAAATATCCTTATCACCTTCCAGGTCCAAATAATTATCATAATCGAAAGCTAATGAGAATTTCCAGGGAATGACTTGACCGGAGAAATAGATTTTTTAAAAATTGAATAATTCTCCCAAGTGAATGAATGTTTGGTAAACATTTTTTCTCAGTGCAAACGTCCCGTTGTTTTTAACTTAATCACTCGGTACCTCGCGCAGGCGTGATTATGCGCTTATGATGTCACCTCTCCACTTGGGCCATTGTGACCAACGTACACCAACGCAATCGGTCCCAGTGGCCGCAACCCTTAAAAAACTCTCTAGTGAGGTTAAGACGTCGTTTCCATTATCCATTCAATGTTGTTATTCAACTCGATTGTTGTCGTCACAACAAAGCACTTGGCATCAGGTAAACGAGAGCATTAGTGCAGAGAGTCGTGATAACGGGTATCAACGGGGGGAGTCATTACTCCGTTCGGAAATAGAGTCCCTCAGTGATGAGGACAAATCGCGAGTAGTTGAAGTGGAGATAGTCTCCTGGGAAAATGCCGACGTCGAAGCAGGGGAATTACTCGGGCTCGGAGAGTGACCGTGGTGGCTCTGACAGCGAGGCGGAGGACAACCAGTCGCTGAAGTCAGGGAGTGGAAGATCGGTGTCACGAAGTCGCTCGCGGTCGCGCTCCAACTCGGCGTCGGGCTCCGACCGAGTGAGAGATGACGAGGCTGAGGAGGCCAAGTCCGGGGAGGAGGAGCCCTCCGAGCCCGAGGAGGAGCCCGAGGGCGAGGAGCTGGACAGCGAGGAGGAGGAGGACGACGACGACGAGGACGAGCGACCCAGGAAGAAGAAGAAGAAGGACAGGATCTGCGGCTTCATCGATGACGAGGCTGAGGTCGACGACGACGTGGAGGACGACGACGAGTGGGAGGAGGGGGCGCAGGAGATTGGAATCGTTGGGAACGAGGTGGACGAGCTGGGGCCAACGGCCAGGGAGATTGAGGGTCGCAGACGTGGGACCAATCTCTGGGATTCACAGAAGGAGGACGAGATCGAGGAGTACTTGAGGAAGAAGTATGCGGACGAGTCTGTTGCGGCTAGACACTTTGGGGATGGGGGGGAGGACATGGGTGACGAGATCACCCAGCAGACACTGTTGCCAGGGGTTAAAGATCCCAATTTGTGGATGGTCAAGTGCAGAATTGGGGAGGAGAAAGCCACTGTTCTCCTGCTGATGCGTAAATTCTTGACTTATCAATTCACCAATGAACCACTGCAGATTAAATCGGTGGTGGCACCTGAGGGGGTCAAGGGCTACATTTACATTGAGGCGTACAAACAGCCGCACGTTAAATCGGCTATTCAGAGCGTTGGTAATCTCAGGATGGGCATTTGGAAGCAGCAGATGGTGCCGATCAAGGAGATGACTGATGTGCTGAGGGTTGTCAAGGAGCAGACTGGCTTGAAGGCCAAACAGTGGGTGAGGCTCAAGAGGGGAATCTACAAGGACGACATTGCACAGGTTGACTACGTGGATTTGGGGCAGAATCAGGTTTACCTGAAGCTCCTGCCGAGGATTGATTACACCAGGCCTCGGGGGGCACTCAGAACAGCGCAGTCGGAGAGCGAGGCTCTCAAGAGGAAGAAGAAGAGGCGACCACCGGCCAAACCGTTCGACCCCGAGGCCATTCGGGCCATCGGGGGGGAAGTGACGAGCGACGGGGATTTTCTGATATTCGAGGGCAATCGGTACAGCCGCAAGGGATTTTTGTACAAGAACTTTACCACCAGTGCCATTATCGCTGAGGGGGTCAAGCCGACTTTGTCGGAACTCGAGAAGTTCGAGGAGGCGCCTGAGGGCATTGACATCGAGCTCAGCGGGACTAATGGAGCCATTGGAAAGGACGATGTGGCTGTCACTCACTCCTTCAGCACTGGGGACAACGTCGAGGTCTGCGAGGGCGAGCTCATGAATCTCCAGGGTAAAATCGTGTCCATCGACGGCAACATGATCATGGTGCTGCCCAAGCACGAGGAGCTCAACGAGCCCCTGGAGTTTCAGTCCAACGAGCTGAGGAAGTACTTCAAAATGGGCGATCACGTGAAAGTCGTTGCTGGAAGGTACGAGGGTGACACTGGGCTGATTGTCAGAGTCGAGCAGAATCGTGTGGTGCTGTTCTCCGATCTGTCGATGCACGAGTTGGAGGTACTACCCAGGGATCTGCAGCTGTGCTCAGATGTGGCGACTGGGGTCGACAGACTTGGGCAGTTTCAGTGGGGCGATCTTGTCGACGTTGACAAGCAAACTGTCGGCGTTATTGTTCGCCTCGAGCGTGAGAACTTTCACGTACTCCAGAATGACGGTAAAGTTGTGCAGAAGAGGCCACAGGAGTTGACCAAGAGGCGTGAGAATCGCAACACATTTGCCCTCGATCATCAGCAGAATGAAATACGTAAAAAGGACATCGTCAAGGTCGTCGATGGACCGCACACAGGTAGAGATGGTGAGATCAAGCACCTCTACCGGAGTTTTGCATTTGTACATTCACGAATGTACGTGGACAACGGGGGCATCTTCGTCTGCAAGACGAGGTATCTTCAGTTGGCCGGTGGCACCAAAGCGGTGTCGGCTATTGCGCCGATGTCGGGCTCCATGTCACCGAGGATTAGCTCGCCGATGCATCCCAGCGGTGGGTTTGCGCGGGGGGGAGGGGGCAGGGGTCGAGGCCGAGGGGCCGGTCCGCGTCGGGACCGCGAGCTCATTGGGACGACGATCAAGATCACTGGGGGGCCGTACAAGGGCAACGTCGGCATCGTCATCGACGCCACTGAGAGCACTGTGAGGGTCGAGCTCCACTCGACGTGCCAGACAATCTCCGTTGATAGATCGCACATCGCCAACATCGGTGTGCCAACCAAAGACGGGGGCTTCAGCTCCTACAGCCGCACGCCGGCGTACTCCACTGGGGGACAGACGCCCATGTACGCCAGGGACGGCTCCAAGACCCCCATGCACGGGTCGCAGACGCCGATGTACGAGAATGGCTCCAGGACACCGCATTATGGCTCTATGACGCCTTCACACGACGGCTCGAGGACACCGGGACAGTCCGGCGCGTGGGATCCAACGGTCACCAATACCCCGGCGAGAAATAACGATTTTGATAACTACAGTATTGAGGACGGCGGCTCGCCGGGGTACGCCCCGGGCTATTCGGCCACCGGGGGACCCTTCACCCCCCAGACCCCGGGGACGATGTACGGGTCGGAGCAGAGCTACAGCCCTTATCAGCCGAGTCCCAGTCCCGTTGCCAGCGCCACTGCTAGTCCCAGCCCTGCTGGATACGTCGCTACCCCCTCTCCAACGGGGACTGGCTACACCACCAGCCCCCACGGGGTCTTCCCGTCACCCTCGCCCATGAACTACAGCCCCATGACTCCTGGAGCCGCTGGAAGTCCTTATAATCCGCAGACCCCAGGGGCGGGATTGGACACTGGAATCAACGGGGGACTCATGGGGAATACTGAGTGGCACACTGTCGACATCGAAGTCAGGATCAGGGACTCGCATCAGGATCCGGCACTCGCTGGACAACAGGGGGTCATACGAGGAATATCTGTGAGTCATTAAAATTTTGGTATTGTTGATGGAAAAATTTTATTTTATAAGGGAGGAATGTTGTGCTATGGATTTGGTCAATTGCGTTATTGTTGAGTATGTGGATGTTGGAATATTCGAGCACAGCTCTTTGATTATTGTACATAAATATACTCGACAAAAATTTATGACATAGGGGAGGGCAGGGTAAAATGGACAGTTTTGATTTTTTTTTTAAATACTCATAACGTGGTGAATTTTTCATGACATGGAGTAATTTAATTTTTCAGTTGAAAGAACCAAGATTCCTCTTTGTGATGAGCTTAGACTGAGCTCAATTGATAAATCTGTTTCTGAGTTATGAATATTTTTAAAAAAGTTAAAAGTGTCCATTTTACTGAGCGGTGGAATCCTAAACACATGCCGAAATTATTTTTCCCGAAAAATTATTATTTTACGCCCGAGAATTTCTGTAGAAAAATTTCTGTAGAAAAATACTGAATTCCAATGGAAATTCAGTAGAATAATATCTTAGAGAAACCGCGAGATTTTTCTGTGAAACTTTGTCATAAGTGCTCTCTTGACAATCAAAATATTGTCAACTCATTCATTCGGCAGTAATAAATTCATTTTTATTCATCACCCAGGGTGGAATGTGCGCTGTATTCCTGCCGGCTGAAGATCGCGTCGTGAATCTGGTTTGCGAGCAACTGGAACCAGTGGTACCCACTCATGGTGATCGAGTGAAGGTCGTTCTCGGTGAGGAGCGTGAGGCTGTTGGCACTCTCCTGTCTATTGACACTCAGGAGGGTGTCGTTAAACTCACCACTGGAGAACTGAAAATGTTGCAGCTAAGATATCTCTGTAAAATGAAAACCCCAGCTTAATAATTCGTGTTGAAGTATCTGTGTCATTCCTGGGGTTCACACACAATGCAAAATCTTCATTCTACATTTACTGTTATTCGTATTAATCTGAACTATAGCTTTATGACTTGTCGTGATCTACCTTGTATTTTATTAGTCAAATAAATACTAGAGAGATGATAATAAAATCCATTGTTTTCGTTTTCATTATTCTCGAGAGAATAAGTCCAAGAATTTCTTCTTATAGAGTTCCAATAGTAATTCAATTTATAATTTTTTTAAAGAATCATGTTTAATTAAATCATATTCACCAAAATTTCAATGAAAATTGTATTGAAATTTTTTCATACGTAATCTTCCGTGACCCCGCCCCCTCACTTCCCCCTGATCGTTGTTACGTCCTGCTCAGTCAGCTGATCGGCGTCATAACCTTTTCCACAATTGTCCGGCACAACACACCCGCAAAGTGATCAAGTGTCCCCCCGAAAATGGGAACAAGGGTGCTCCTCCGCACCTGGAGAACCTTCGCCCAGGGAAAGGGCCCCCATAAACTCTCCTTCCTCGGTGTTGGAGTCCTGGCATCGGGAGTGGCCTGGTACCACGGTAAAAGAGAAGCCTCAGCGGCCCGGAATCAGCTGGACACCTCTAGGTTCATGGCAGACCCCATAACACCCACCAAGGACCTGGCAAAGAACTCAGGCGACATGAAGACGAAAATGGAACTTCTGATAATGAAAATTCAGTCGGACTTCTGTCGCTCCCTGGAGTCTCTCGAGGATGGAACGAAGTTCAAGGTCGACAGGTGGTCTAGGAAAGAGGGTGGGGGTGGGATAACGTGTGTTCTTCAGGAGGGAACGGTTTTCGAAAAGGCAGGAGTCAATATTTCGGTTGTATCCGGTAATCTTCCACCAGGTGCTGTCAGACAGATGCGCGCCAGGGGCAAGGAGTTGGACGAGGGGTCACTTCCATTCTTCGCGGCTGGAGTCAGCGCTGTCATTCATCCGAGAAATCCAATGGTTCCAACGATACACTTCAATTATCGGTAATTCTCCCAATTTTTTTTAAATTACGATTATGAATTCATTTTTTTTTAATACAATTTGGTAGTGGAGCAAAGTTTTGGCAGTTGAGAAACTTGAGACATTGATTTTCAAGTGTAAATCGAATACATCATTCACAATTTTTATATTGAATGCAATGCGGCTGCCTGACAATTATTTAATTTGCTATTTTTGCCATCATGTTTTCTTTTTATAATTTTATTTATAATTATTGAAGTGTTTATTTTTATTGTTTCGATTTCGTATGTACTAATTTGTTTTTTTAATTCTAGTAGAATTCTGTGAGTAATTGGCCTGTGGCCTGTTGGTCCTGTATACAGCTATAAATAGATAAATTAGTGATTAATACCTAAATTTTTTCTACAAAAAGTAAAAGAACACCATGGTATTTCCCCCCAGGTATTTCGAGGTGACGAATAAGGACGGTTCAGTGCAGTGGTGGTTCGGTGGTGGAACCGATCTGACCCCTTATTACCTGAACGAGGAGGACGCCAGGCACTTCCACAAGACCCTGAAGGACGCCTGCGACGCGCACGACCCGAGCTACTACAAAAAATTCAAGGACTGGTGCGACAATTACTTCCTGATCAAGCACAGGGGCGAGAGGAGGGGCGTCGGGGGCATCTTCTTCGACGATCTCGACACCCCGAGCCAGGAAGAGGCCTTTCAGTTCGTCAGATCCTGCGCGGAGGCTGTCATCCCCTCTTACGTTCCACTTGTGAAGAAGCACAAAGACGATGGGTATGGGTACGCGGAGAGGCAGTGGCAGCTGCTGAGGAGAGGACGATACGTCGAATTCAATCTGATTTACGATCGTGGAACGAAATTTGGGCTTTACACACCTGGTGCACGGTATGAGAGCATTCTCATGTCATTACCGTTGACCGCCAGGTGGGAATACATGCATGAACCCAGTGGTGACTCGAAGGAGGGGAAACTCATGGAAGTTCTCAAAGTGCCGAGGGACTGGCTGAATTTACAGGGGAAATAGTGGGGAGGACTCTTTCGTTGGGGATTGAATATTATACTTTCTTGACTAAATGTTTTTTGTATTGGAGATTATTATTTTGTTTTGTGAGGATAGAAGTTGTGGTTTATTTTACGGATATTTTTTATACAAATTATTTCTATACGATTTCTACAGGTTTGACCCAATACGACCCACTGGCACATGTATAGAAACATTTCGTATGGAGTTGCGGCATTTTTCTACGTTTTTCTCTGGAGCGTTTAGACATTTTTCGTATGAAAACAAAAATTTATGTAAAAATTTATGTATAGTAATAATTCGTATACAAAATTACATTTTCTCAAGCGTGAAAAATTTGTTTTTCAAACAAATTTTGTGCTGTATTTTTCTCCTTAACAGATTTGTTATGTATCTCAGGACAAAAATAAAAAACTTTTCACTATTCATCTACAAATGATAAACTGATTAAAAACGATTTTCGAAATACCGTATAAAACTGATTTCTTCATATTTCAATTCAATATTTTATTTCGTGAATGAACATAATATCCGATACAGTAGATCATCGGTTAGTTTAATAAAAATAAACGATTATCATTAATTTCAAACTTCTCTTCATCGTTATAATTTTTATATAAATAATTCCTGAGGTCCCGTGTTGTATCGTTGATCCATTTGACGGGAAATACTCTAAGAAAATTCATTATTATTATATAGACACCCCTTTATCATCACATTTCGGTGTCTACGATAAGTTCAACTCTTCCATAAAAATATTCATCTTTGGGCCCTTATGCAAAGCACAACCACATTTTCAATCACATTTTGTCTTTTCAATCTTTACGATTATTAGAAAAATGATCACAGTTCTCGCCTGACATGGCTCATGCAATTGACGTAGAGTACTACAGATATAAATACAAGTACTGTCATTGGTAACTGAAGACTAAAGATTTTTCATCATAACGTTTTGGTATTTCTGAAAACTCCAACCCTTTTGTAATAATTGTGCAGCTCTTGAAATGTCTAGACTTGTGAAATACTTATGAAAATCGAAATTCATTGAATAATTTTGTCATCTGTTTTTAGGAAATTTCATGTTTTGAATGAGCATGGTTGGATAAGCATAAAATATGTGCTGAACAGTCATATGTTATCTTCAATGTCGATGATATCTTCAAGGCTATTGACAGAAAGTCATTAAAAAAATATTTCCCTCTAACATTTAAATGCCCGGATACTCCTTAAATACATCAAACGAAAAATTAATTAAAACATGCCCCCATCAGTTTATTGTATATTCAATCTTTCAAAGAAACATGTTTTGCATTGTAGATTGTCATTTCGTTTCATAAAAAATAAGTAATTATCTCTATTTCGATATTCTCTTCATCGTTACCATCCTTTAAAGAATTATCTTATAACATCATTAATGCAATTGACGAGGAGTCCTCCAATAAATCATAATTAATTTGATAAAAAACAACTCTTCATAATGAATAATTGATGAGAAAGTTTTCCTCGTGAAAGTAAGTTGTTTGCTTCCCAAAAACATACCCTCGTGACTCCCCACCCGAACCGCCCACCCTCACCCAAAAAAAAACCTTAAAATACTGACGTCAGTTTGCAGAATTGGTAGAACTACTAGAGGAGATCTCTAGCTCCTCCATTCGCCTCCTCAACTTCTTGAAAAGTCCATCCTCCTCCTTCTCTTTCTGCTCCTCCCTCAAGGATCCAGTCTTGGAATCACTCGAATCACAGAACTCCATAATCTCTTCATCATCCCCGCCCTCCTCAGACTCCTCATCCCCAGAATCACCCCTGGACTGATCGGAGTACTCCTCCGGCCAGTACTCAAAGTCCTCCATATTCCTCAGAGTATCCCCCGAGCAATCAGAGCCTGTCTCAGTCCACCCCACCGGAAGTCTCCTCCTCCTGACCCCCCTCTCCTCATCAACAGCTTTATAATTCTTGGCAGACGTGGGGTCCTCGACCACCGGTAAATTGGCATTTGGATCCCACCTGGGTCTGGCCTCGTGCCTCCTCCCCAGGAGCTTCGCAATCTCCCTGTGACTGACATACTTCTCCAGAAGATGCTTGGGCCCACACCAGGCATTATTATCCAAACAGTACTGCATGAATTCCCTCCAGCACTCATCGTGCTGCAGGATCAGGGGATTCCCAATGACAATCAGAAGAGCTTTGGCCCTCGTCACAGCGACATTGAACCTCTTGGGATTCGAGAGAAACCCAATGTGAATCTTCCCCCCTGCCCACCTGTAGAGAACCGACCTGACAGTAGAAATGATAATGACGTCCCTCTCCTGTCCCTGGAATATCTCCACAGTCCCCACCGCTATGTTCGTCAGACCCGTCTTCTCCAGAGCCTCGACTATCTTCGCCTTCTGGAGCCTGTAAGGCGTGACGATCCCCACCTCCTCCTCTTTGATCAGTCTCCCCCCTAAGTTACTCCCAATCAGCTTCTTAACGTAGTCAACGATCACCCGCACCTCGTAGGGGTTGTAGACACTTGGGGAATAACGCTCTCGGTGCTCGTCCCCTTTAACCGCGTGGAACATCACAGGAAACTTTTTCCTAGGTAGGTAGAACCAGTTGCTGGCCCGTTTCGTGTGGGCCCCACCGCAGGGGACCAACTCGCCGTCGTAGAACAGCTTATTGGGGACGTGGAGGATCGCTGGGTGACACCTGCAGCAGGCATCGGTAGGAATTATGACTTTAGTCTTGTTTTCGGATTGAATTGCATGAATAATCCAAGTTTATTCATCTTCATTGAGATATTATATTATAAATTACAATAGTTACATTTTGAGGGCTGATCGTTAAATAAACCGTTCAAATTTATAAAACTAATTCTCGACTAACCAATCAATCTGAGAAATTCAATAGAATTTCTATAAAAATCTCTAGATGTTTCTAGTATGATTATTCGTGCGGATAACTGACCTGTAGTTCCTCACGAGTTTTGTCACGTAGTTGGGGTCGTAGCCAGTGGCTTCAGAGCGTTGATAAGGCCCCCAGGACATGAGTCTCTCGAGCATAGATACAGAGAGAATGGGAGCAGACAGTCTCGATTGGCAGGAGGGGCCCAGCTGCTGGGGGTCTCCAGCTATCACCACCTGACCGCGGGGTTTGCCATTCATTTCCACGTGATAACCGCACATTGTTAGGAGGGGAATGAGGGTCTGGGGCTCGGTTGCCTGTCCTGCCTCGTCGATGAAGAGATAGCCGAAGTGGTCCTCCTTCAGGGAGTAGTTGTAGACCCTGATTGCTGTGGCTAGGGTCACGATGACAATTTTTTTTGTTACGAAGACATCCTTCGGGAGGAAGATTGCTTCGTCCGAGGCGAGGTTCGAGGCGCTCTTTATGGACTCGTGGACGTCGTCGATGTTCCTGGAGGCACTGTAGAGGCGGTACAGGGCGCTCTCTCCGATTAGATCGGGAGAGTGACGCAGGAGTTTGAGGGCTATCTCGTCTGCTGCGGAGTTTGAGGGGGTGCAGATGAGGATTCGGGTCGAGGAGTTGCGCTTGTGGATCTGGAGAATCGCCTCGATGAGGGTGGAGGTCTTGCCGGTCCCTGGGGGACCGAACAGAATGTAGGGGTCCGGCTGGGAGGTTTTAGCTAGGATGTTCAAGATTGCCTGCTGCTGCTCTGGGTTCTCCTCTATGTTTTTATTCACCCAAGTGAGTTTTCTGGAAATTAAGGGAATTATCGACACTGAGAAAAAAATATTTTGACCAAATATACATTTGCTTGAGAGAAGTATTTAGTTTGTCAATAAAGTATTTCTCCAGTCAAGTTATTCCGAGGCAATCATTGGGCTACAATTACAACAATTATATTGCTCTAGACGATGAACATGTTAGGTATGACCTTGAGTGAATTCCCTCAATAATTATCGACATTTAAAAAATTAATTGAAATTCTTTCCTCTAGAAAATAAAAAATTTGGGAAAAATAATTTTTTGGCCGTGACTATTCGCACCATTGCGTGAATCACTCCCGTACACTCAATACACACTCCACTTTAAAGTCACTTTAAAGTAACGTTTTAGGAGGACGAGGTCAAGTTCAAAGTTTGTGATAAATATGTTTTAATCTAAGGAAAACAGACATTTTTACTGTCGTGTGAAGAATAGCTGAAGCTATAACAAAGATCCCTGTGGAAACTTGACTCTCTTGCATTCCCAGGTATGTTTTGTAAACTTATGTCGATATGAATTGATTTATCCAGTTTTCCCAATCAACTGATCCCAAAAATATTGACTTACTCATGCTTTGCATTGTTATATTTTCCACCAATCGGGAATACCATTCGCATAAGATTGAATTTCTTCACTTTATCGAGTGCAAAATTCAGATTATTGCTCTCCCAGTCTGACCAGCGAAACGCGATGTCATATAATTGCTCAGTCGAATACTTGAGAGCAAACCTGGAATAATAAATTTATTGAGAATGAATTCCTTCAAAGCAAGTTTAAGTCGATTTAGCTCTTAACTGTTCTCCAAGAATATCTTCGAATCCAACGGAGATGACGAAATTTTCGTAAAGACCTTTTTTGCAGCTCTCAATTCTCTTTACAAAAAAGGTAATGACGAAAATTTCGTCATCTCCCTTAAAATTCGAGATATTAATTGACAAGTGACGTTGCCTGTCACTTCAGACTTACCTATTGTCGACAAGAACTGAAATGTAGTTAGCCCCCACGAATTTGATCTCTGCAGCAGTCTGGGCTGTTCCATTAACTGAGGTGATGTCCACCCAGTCCCTAGCACGAATCGAGGGTCTGTCCTCCTCCAATCCAGGCACGTAAATGACGTATTCTCCCTTTCTAATAGATGCCCTCTGGAGCCTCTTCCCAGAGAGGGAGTACTTCCTGCACTCGACAATCCCCTGGTACTGCTCCAGGTACAGCAGCAGCTTCCAGAGGTACCAGTAGATATCCTGGTCGATGTCTTTGAACGAGGAGAGACCTTTCAGCACTTTCAAATACTGCTGCGAAGTCTGTGAGAATTTTTCCGAGGGAGTGACTCCACTCTCGAGAACATCGTAGAGCTCCTGAGGTATCAATGATGAGTCGTGCTGGACCCTTGGGGCGGATTGAACTCTAGAACAGTGAAGTCAACGGTTGAGGAAAATTATGGATTGCAAGGGTGTTATGCTGGGAACAATTCACTGGAGATCAGATGAAAGAATAAGATGGGTTATGGGAAAGAGTTGAATGTCTCCGATAGGAAGTGGAGATCGAGTCAGTTCGCCCAGCAACGCGGGCGAGAGCACTTCGAGCTACATCTATCGATCATTCATTGAGATCATTATTTTATGTTTGCATTCATCACTACTATTAATTGTCAACCAGTTTTATAATACACCAAGGACACTCTCAAATTGAAGAGGATTATTTTAGTGAAGTAATTTCAATACTCGTTTTACGTTTACATTAATCATCTAGGGGAGGGTAGGGTAAAATGGACACTTTAGACATTTTTAAAATTATTCATAACTCAGAAACAAATGTATTAATAGAGCTCAGTTTAGGCTCATCACAAAGGGAAAGAATTGTTCTTTGTATTGAAAAAAAAAAACATTAAATTTCATCAACATTTCAACCCGTCACTAATATTTTTAAAAAAGTCAAAAGTGTCCATTTTACCCCAACCTCCCCTATGTTCATTGACTAATTAAAATAATAACAAATGCATTAAAAATTTACGTGTCTCTGCGACTCAGCGCCGCGATCATGTCCGTAAAATCCATCTTCCCGGGCGGCCTAACCCCCTACAAAGCACGTGGCCACCAACCACCCCAAAAAACCCCTCAACAAACTCAAAACGACGAGTCCCCAGCCTCCCCTCGCACCACAAACGTCACCAGCGCACTGAGATCCCGTCAGCCACTCAAAAACTCCAGTTATCTCATAATATCAACAATGCTCCTCTCAAAACTCTCGGCACAACAGCTGGCAACAGGGCGGCCGCTCGTTGAGTATCAGAGCCAAGCGTCGACGTTCAACCGCGTAACTCTCGGCAAACGCAACAAACACGAGACAACCGCTTGAGCGTGACCGAGACAGCCCGAGAGCAATTCCCCCCCCACCGAAACGAAAGGAGACAGACAGCCCGTTGGTTGGTGGGACGATGATGGCAATGGGGGCCAGCTGTTTGTTTTGTTTTCGGGCATGAGATTCACGTGACGCCGGCGGTGGCTGACGGCAGCGCGCAGCAACTCCCATCTGTCTCCATCGCCCATTGGCCATCGCAACTGCACTCCACGACACATCCACCAATCACACAATTCGTACCATATCATTACTCCTCGTACTACGGTGTAGAAACATTTGACATCGATAAATGCGTGAGAGTACTCGTGAAGTGCGGAGGTGCCAGGCTGTCGTTCGTTCGTCGGCTCCTCGTCGTCGTCGTCGTCGCGGTCCCCGTTGCCGTGTTCGTCGCCGTCGGTCAGTTATTACCATCATTTTAACAATTATTAAATCTACAAATTCATCATTCCCTTTATTCCTCGGTCTCCTGGGGGAAGGGGGGCGGGGGGAGAGCTGATGGAAAACATCGAAAATAGAGAAAACGCCGACAGTTTCATGCGAACGTAACAAAGGATTCGCAAGCCCTCTCCACTTACGAACTTTATACATGTGTATTTAGTTTAGTGAAAGCCAGGGACTGGGATTCCACGCTGGTTCGGGGGGAGGGGGGCGGCCGCTATAAATAGACCCAGTGTTTTTGTAAATATTTTGATGCTTTTTATTTTCTTTTTCTGAGAGCAAAAATTTTTATCCCCCGGCAGACGAGTGAAAATAGATATTGGTAGTAAATAGAGCGAGGAATTTTCAACGACAAGTGAATATAACAATCAGCTACTCCCATTTGAGTTTGACGACTCTCGTGGACGGGTGGGGATTAAAAATAAAATTGCGAACGACCCGTTATCGTGTGGCGTTTGGGGCTTCAAAAACATGGGATTACCCGGAGGAGTGACGAGTGAAATTTAAAGGGATTTTATCAGCGGTGATGATTGTTTGTGTTTTCGGTAAATCGTTTCGGTTTTATCTCAGATGATATACAGTAATGTCGAAAAATTTGACAGGAGGTTTGTGGGAGAGCGTCGAGGGAGGGGGGCGCGGAGCGAGGAGAGAGGGGGCGGCGTGACGGAGTTTAGGTAGCAACAGTGGAGTTCTCGAAAGAGTTCTCCGCGCATACATACTCATGACAGAAAAAAGGACAGATACAACGGTGGAAGTAAGAAGTAAAAAAAACATGATGGACACGCACACACGCCTACGCCTCGGAGCGCGCCATCGCACATATGACGGTTTCTCGGGGCGCAAGTCAAACCCAAAGTCCGTGCACCTCGGCATTCGCTTATTTTCAATTGGCGTTCCCCTGCCCCCCCCCCCCCTC